TTCGACGCTGTTGGGGCACGACTGCCTCCTGGCCCTGCACTGGTACGAATTGGGCCTTCCAGCCCAGATGTCTGCCAGGTTGTGCCAACGCGCCAGTCAAGTTGTCACCAGCTCGGCAGGTCCCTCTGGCGACGGTTCAGCGTCCACGCCGCCTCCAGAGGTTGCCCTCGCCGACTGCCCCTGAACCCTGAGAATCCAGAACACGGGCAGCAGGGCCCCATCGGATCACTTGGTTAAGCCAGCAGTTCCATCAAGCCTCATGCTGAAGTGGCCGCTGCACTCAACGGTGCCGTCGACCAGCTTTCGACAGAGTGGCCCACCCGCACTGATGTAGAGCTCTGTATCTTGACCGCTTGCGACCTCCTTTCTCGCCTCATCTCAGCTCTCTGAGTCTTTAGCTCTGGGTGCCTGGCTTGTGTCAACTCTCAATATACTTGTTTAGTAGTGTGCGCATCTAGTGACGGACCGCAGAGCTTCGGCACTGTCCTTGAAGAAGCTCTGCGGAGGCACGATCTGGGTTCTGGCTCATCTCGCGGAAGCTCGTCTTCCGATCTCGCTTGTTTCACGAACTTTCGGCGTCTTGGGCATGCGTGCAGAAACTTGGTTCCTGCTCGCCACAAGGCGCGCCTTCTTCGTGGTTTTCCTGGCCATGTTCATCTCAACTCGTATTTCCGCCCATCAGCTGCGTGAGCTCTTTCCCCCAACCGGGCTTGGGCGAGAGAGTTGGCTGACAGCATCGCCCGCCCAGCGACGGGCCAGAGCAAAAAGGAGGAAAGTGCGAGAGGAGGAAGAGGATCTGTCGTGCTGGGCTTGCCCGCGCGGGAGGTCGTGGTTGACGGACCCCCGCAGGCCGCGATCTTGCATTTCGAACCCGCAATCTGGCGCCCCTCTCACGCAGGCGTTTTTTCAGTGGAGGCTACCGTCCGCCTCCGTCCCGGTCCACCTTCCAATGTAAAGAGAAAAGCGAACAAGCTATGACCGCTACCGCCCTCCTCTTCCCTTCTCCTCCTCCTCCTCCTCCTCCTCCTCTTCCCTCCTCCTCCTCCTCCTCCTCCTCCTCCTCCTCCTCCTCCTCATCTCCATCCCCCACCGACTCCCCTCACGCGAACCATTGTTGGAAGCGGAGACCAGGAGGGAGGAGTGACGTACTCACCCGCGCCCTGTGATGAATATGTCGCGATTCGAGTTGGGCCCCAGATCTCTTGCCGAGGTGGCAACGAAGTTGCAGGTCGGTGTCGGACTTCCTCTGAAACGTTTTGATGCGGCTTGAAGCTGCACAACCTTGACCCTGGAGGGCTCGTTGCGAGTCCGATCGTCTGGGGCACCGTTCCTTAGCTTGAAAGACTATCGCTTGTGCATGGTGTAATATTTTTGGCACTCTTTGGGATTGAGCATCTATCAGTTCATCGCTGTGAGGGCCCGCTCGGCTCTTGGACTCTCCGGTGCGCACTCGCGCCGGCAATGCCGATACCAAGACCGTGAGCGGCACGCCCACGATATTCGGGCTTCTTGCATCGCCAGTTTACAGCCCAGCCTGGCTGGCCGGGCTGCTTGAGACGCAGCACCCCGAAATTTTGGAGACATGTAGGAGTGAGGGGGGCCAGGAGGTGGAGGAAGGGAAGCGGGAAGGGGAGCTGCGACCGGGCGTGTCTTCAGGCAGTCCGCCTCCCCAGCGCGCCCTCCCAGCGCGCCCTGCGCCGTCGGTCGCCGTCCCTACTCCGCCCACGCGCGTGCAGGGATAACGTAAGACCGCTCGGGCTCTCCCCACGCTGATTTTTATGCAGACCAGCGCAGGCCTGTTCCAGTTTCGAGCCAAAATGTCACAGTTGTGTGTCGCTTCGACGTCTGAGGCGGGGACGCAGTCAAGACGCTGAAGCAAGGAGCATCTGGGGGTCGGGAAGGGGCTCGCTGTTCGGCAGGTTCTTCCCCTGGCGCTGGCGCTCCTCCTGCACCCCGGCGCCCGTGGGGCCACACCGGGCTCGGCCCCCTAGCGCCACTCGGCGCTCCTCGCGGTACAGTCAACGCGCCTAGTAAGGACGCGCGCCTTCGTCTAGGATACCCTTGCGTCCTTGCCTCTGAGGCCCGTCCTTTGCCGTTTTCACTGGTCGCCGCCGCCCCCCCAAAAATCCCAACTTCGGCCTCCAAGGGTCTTGCGTCCTTGCCACGCGTCCTTAATGTACGTTTTGACTGTAGCAGCTCAACCGCAGCCCCGTCGAGGAGGGCCGAGCGCCAGAGACGCCAAGGGGCGCGGAGCGCGGGCCCCAGGCCGTGGGGACGACGAGTCGGACTGCCTCAGCGACGACTCCTTCGTCACGGCCAGGACCGCCCCGTCCGCGCGCCTGCCTGCGGCCCCCGCCCTCGGCTCGGCTCCCCCCTCGGCTCGGAGCGGGAGCCGAGTCCACGCCGTGGGCTGGGGCCTGGTCGCGGTGCTGGCTCTCCTTCGCCCTCTGCCTCCGTCTTCGCCGGCACCCCCCATGCCTGCGGCTGTGCCTTGGCCTCTGTGCTTGCCTCTGCCTGCACACGTGCCTCTGTTGGTCTGCTTGTCTGCCTGCTCGTCTGCCTGTCGCATCTACCTTTGCAGGCCCTCGCATCTGCCTCAACAAGAGCTCGGGCTTGCGCAGCCTCAACGACAGACGGACTGCATAGGGCCACGGCCGAGGAATGGCGTCTTGCCACCACTGGGATCGCTCCTCCTCTCTCGGAAGCGTCCCACTTTGAGGCGACACCCGACATGGCGCAGCGCTCCCTTCGGCCCCTTGGAAAGATCCAGCGCGCCGGCGCTCGCCTGCACAGCAGGTGCCCCGTTCGCAGGCGTGGCAGTGCCGGCGGCAGTCCGCAGCGGGCCGCGCAGGCCCAACGGGGGGGCGCTGGCTGGCGCTCATCGCCTGCGGCCCGGGCCACGCAGCGTCGCGTCCGTTCGCCTGCAGGTGGTGCGCACGCCCCGGCTGGGCGGAGCGATTTCGGTCGACGCTGCGCCCTGGCGGCCCGCTCTTTGACTTGGACGGCCGTCGGAGGCGGACAGGCCTCCTACCCTGAAACGTCGATTCGCGAATTCGCCGTTTTCGGCTCGCGAGAGGGCGTCGCGGCCGTCATTTTTGCGGGTCCAGGTCCGTCGGTCTCGGTCCCAGGCCGCTTTCACTAAGGGGAGGTTTGCTAAAGGGAGGTTTGTCCACCGCCGAGGCTGGCACTGTGAGCTCCATCGCCTGCGGAGCTGCTTGTCGTGTGGACTGCTTGACAAGCGCGACGGCTAGCCTGAATTGCTGACAGGTCTTGGGCCCCACAGCGCTGGTCGGGGCTGTGGACGACTGGAGAAGAGGTGGCATCGCTGCGAGTCTTGCGTGTACGCAGCGGTTTTGAATTCGGTGTGCGCACTGTTGGTGTGCTCCTCATATCGGTGCATGCTACTGGGAAGGTATACTGTCCTCGATGGTTGCTCAGACGCCGCTTCCTTGATGCATGCGGATGTTTGTTAACGTGTCCTCCGCGTAGCCGTCACATTGGCCAAACTTGTGCATGTGTGTGATCCGGCGCACTCATTTCCGTTTGCATGCCGTGTGCTTGAGCGCGCGTTCGGCGCGTTTTTCCAGTTTGTTGAAGCGCGCTTGGCGTTCTCGCCCGCTGGCCTGCAAGTGCCGTTTTTTTCTTAAGATGGCTCCTGCTGATTTTTTGGTAAAGAAAAATATAGCTCCCGTTGAATTTTTTGGGATAGCTCCTGTTGACTTGTTTCGGCCCGACCTGGCAAGAGTTTCTGGCGGTCCTTCCTTTGCTTCTTTGGACATTGTAAAGACTTGCTGGCAGCGTAGGGGCCTGAAGTGCAGCAGGCTCTTCTCAGAACACATGTATGTGTGCCTGCCTGTAGGTCTTCCGGTCTTTCTTGATTTATGTCTGTCTGTCTGCTTGTCCGTCTTTCGGTCTTCTCTCTCTCTCTCTATCTTTTTCTGCCTCCCTCTCGCTCCATCTCTCCATATCTTCCTGCGCCGAGCCATGCTGGCATACTCCGCAGACTTGCTGATGAGTGGCACATGCCTCCTCTTTTGTGGCGTGCTCTTCCCAGGCGGTGCACCCCGTCGTAGCGATACACTTGTATTTGCGCGCGCTCGATTCGATCCATTGGCTTACGCATTCCTCGTGCTCCGCGGGGTGCACGTCCGAAACGCGTAGAGCATGGGTATTCGGCGGCTCTTCGCGCGCTCGATTCGATTATACACACCCCTGAGAGTCCAACTCATGTCATCCCTGGACGAGTTCTGGCCCGATCAGTTCGATTCTGTGAGCGAATCGACTGATCTGCGATCACTGGCAGCAGCCCTTGTTGGACAGCTCGGGCTCCCACTGACCCGGGTCAATCCAAGCCCGGGTCAGTCAGGCCATAGAGGATCCGACAAGATCCCGCAGGATCCTGCAGCATCCTGCACCCAAACCCCAGTCAATGCACTTCTGGCTCTGCAGGATCCTTCAAGATTCGGCGCTCTGACTGACCCCCGTTTGCACTGACCCCGGTCCCTGGAGCACCGAACAGCCATGGCATCCTCCCGCTCGCGGCTGCGAGCATGAGTCATGAGGAGGAGCGGCGGAGTTTCGAGGAGTTTCGCTACGCCTTGTTCGCGCACCCTTGAATTACTGACCACGCAAGTATGCGCCAAGCGATGCGTCTCTACCAGGATACCTCGTCAATGTTCGCTTCTCGGACCTAAAGAGTCAGGTTGGTACGTTGTACGTGTGTGGCGTGTCGAACGGCGAACGGCCGTCCCCTCAGATAATAGAGAGTGGAGCAAGAAGATGGTGGAGAGGTCGAGAGGTGCTGAATTTAATGGGAGAAGGCGACTTGTGAAGAAGAGAAGTGAGTCTTTTTCGAGCTGGCTCCGTTGCAAATGGGTTGCCCTTGTTGTATAATTTTATTCGTCACCCCATGCTGCGTGGAATCAGGTTGGCTATTCAGGCCTTTTTAAGCAGGGTGAACTAGGATGATGAGGAGCAGGAGGAACAGGAGAGGAAACGGAAGTGGAGGAGGATGACAGCGATGTGGGGTTTGGCGTCATCATCTCGACTTTGCCCCCCCCCCGTGGTTCAAGGGGTTTCGCTGGAACGTCCAGCGCCTGTTGCTCCCACTTCTCCTCCGTTCCTTCCTCTTCTTCCCGCCTTGCTCCTCTCACATCCCTCCTCCCTCCTCCAATTCCTCCTCCTCCTCCTCCTCCTCGCGTTACTCGCCTTTCCCATGGGGAGTGCGCAATCAGTTCTCATAATGTATGTCTTTGCGAGTCGAATGCGGCGTACCCCCCCGCTACCTTTTCAGTTCGTGCATTCATGGACCAACCAGTGTACTATAACTCCACCTTGATCTGTGCACCGACGACCGGGTTTCTGGCCCTGGGGTGGCCCGCTTTTCTCAAACTCCCCCCGTCGCAACCCACTTGGCCCCCCTGGGATCCGGGATCCGCCTTGGGATGTTTAGGCGACTTTTTCTGCCTGAAGAGGGTTCCCAGCTGTTTCAGGAGGACGCCCGCTGGGCGCCAAGATGGCCCCTCGGTGGCCCAAGACGCTCCAAGATGTTTAAAGGCGGCCCCCAGGGGCCACAAGATGCCCCAGTGGAGCTCCCTAAAGGCTCCCCCAAATGACCCCAGAGAGCCCTAAACGCAAAAGCCATTCAGGTTTCTCCATACTCAGTAAAGCTCGCGCTCTTCTCATTCGGATGGCGTCGGGAGAGCTTCACATGGCCCCGAGGCTCGAAACGGCCCCACAACTTCGAAGAAGAGCCCAAGAGTGCCCCAAGCGGATCACAAGGCTTTCAAGGCAGCCCGAACAGGAAGATCCCCAAGAGACCCCTACACTCCAAGCCATTCCACTTCATATTCAATATCTCCCCACGCCGGCCCTGAACAGCTCTAAGGCCCCACATGATCCCAAGCAAGAGGAGGCCGTCCATAGAATGAGAAACGAAAAGCGAGGACAACCGAGAGAGACTGGATGGTTAACGAGAAAGGACGTATGAGGCATCTTAGAGAGTGAAGGGGCAAGGCATGGAATGAGCCGGTCCGAAAAGCACTCACAGCTAACATCGCCATGGCTTGCGCTAGAACCCAAGCGCGCGCGAAGCGCGCGCACGCGGTTCTAGTTTATGTTTCTGTCACTGTTTGTTCCTCGATGCTTGTCACTGTTACAGTTATGTTTAATTTTGTTTTTCTTATTGCGAAAGTCTTACAGGCCAGCGCCGCCGACCCTGAAGGGGGACGACGACGACGACGAGGACGAGGACGACGACGACGAAGTCGACGACGACGCCGACGATGACGACGACGACCACCACCACCACCACCACCACCACCACCACCACCACCACCACCACCACCACCACCACCACCACCACCACCACCACCACCACCACCACCACCACCACCGCGACGACGTACTCTTATGTTTGTTATTCTTATTCTTGTGTACTACCATTATTATCATCATTGTTATTATTCTTCTTGCTATTCTTATTATCCTTCTCCTTCTTCTTCTCCTTCTTATTGTTATTCTTCTTTGTCTCCTTCTCATTATTCTCCTTCTCCCTCTCCTTCTTTGTTATTATTCTCCTTATTCTAATTCGTCTTCTTCTTCTTTCTTCTCCTTCTCCCTCTTCCTTCTGCAGCCCCGCGCCCACCGCCCCGAGGAGCTGGGCCACCGCGGCCTCCCGCGCCGCCTCCCGCGCCGCCTCCCGCGCCGCCTCGGGCGCCGCCACGCCGCGGGGCCCCCGCCGCTCCGGGGCCGCGCTGCCGCCCTCCGGGGCCGCTCGAAGCCGCCGCCGTGGCCAACGCCGCCGCGGCCGCCGCCGCTGCCGCTGTCGTCGTCGCCGCCGCCGCCACCGCCGCCGCTGCCGCCGTCGTCGTCGTCGTCGTCGTCGTCGTCGTCGTCGTCGTCGTCGTCGTCGTCGTCGTCGTCGTCGTGGCCAGCGCCGCTCGAAGCCGCCGCTGAGGCCACCGCCGCCGCGGCCACCGCCACCGCGGCCCGTGTGGGGTCCTGGGGCCCATCCCATCTGCGGGGGGGGGCCGCGAACCCTCGACTCGGGATCCTATATGATCCAGGGCTCCGGGCCCCTTCCCACCCCCCTCTCATGCTGATGCCTTCGGGCCCACCCCCGCGCAGTGGGTGCCCCGCCGCGCCCCTGTGGTCGTGGCCCTGCGGGTGTGGTGGTGGTGGTGGTGGTGGTGGTGGTGGTGGTGGTGGAGTGTTCGGGCCGAAGGCTCCGCAGCCCCCCCCCCCGGCAAAAAAGCCTACGATGGCTCGCCCACCTTTTCCGCCTCGCAGGGGAGCGAGCGCGTGCCGCACCCTGCCCAAGACAGGAGGTCCGAGCCGGTCTGGGCGGCGCGTCGGACACCCTCGCCCCGCATGCTCGGGCGCCCCTCCCGCTGCGCAGGCGGGCAGCCGGCGGCGAGTGTGCCGCTGCCTGGCGGCCTTGGCGGCGCTGGCCGGGGTGTCTGCCCTGGCGGTCGGCGCCCGCTGGCGGCGCGGCCGGGGGCCTCGCGCGGCCCCTGCCGTGCCGCTGCCGACGCATCGCCGAGCGTAAAACGGGCGCCGTCGGCGTGCTTCCGCTGCCACAGCTCCGATGGTCTGCGTGCAGCGGTGCCTGGGCGGAAAGCATGTCCAGGTCCACGGCCTGGCGGGCTGGGCCCCTGGACCGCGGCCCCGTTGATATGGGCGCTTTTTCGCGGGGATCACGCCCCGGAATCCAGACCTTGAAACCCAGGGTAGGGTAGGGAGGGCTGAGGCCTGGTTTTTTGTTCCACTACTGTAGCACCCCGCAGTTGCGGATAAGAGCGGTGGGGCGGGCGCGGGGTGGGTCTGGGGTGGGTCGCGGGTGAGTCGCGGGTGGGTCGCGGGGTGGGTCGCGAGCGGGTCGCGGGGTGGGTCGCGGGTGAGTTGCGGGTGGGTCGCAGATGAGTCGCGGGTAGGGCGCGGGTGGGTCGCGGGGTGGGTCGCGGGTGGGTCGCGGGTGGGTCGCGGGTGGGTCGCGGGTGGGTCGCGGGCCGGGTCACGGGCGGGACGACGACGACAACAAACAACAACAACAACAACAACAACAACAACAACAACAACAACAACAACAACAACAACAACAACAACAACAGCAACAACAACAACAACAGCAGCAGCAACAACACCAACAACAACAACAACGACAACAGCAGCAACAACAACAACCATAGCAAGAACAATAACAACAATAACAACAACAATAACAATAACAATAACACTAACAACAGCAACAACAACAACAACAACAGCAACAACGACAACAACAACAACAACAGCAACAACAACAACAGCACCAACAACAACAAACAGTGTACCCTCATGCGCGATGATTCATCACCTGGTTCACTCAGCCTCCGCGCCACCCAGTCTCTGGGCGGGCCGCCGTCGCCGAATCCGTCTTTTGCAATGTTCACCTAATGTTCGGGACCGCCGCCGCCGCCGCGAATTTGCACCGGCTGTTTGTAAAACTGCCTTCAGCCCACCCCGCTACCGCGCCTGGGCCGTGGGCCAGAGGCCTCGTCGCGGTTGCGCGTTTGCTCCCTTCGAAACAGAATTATGTTGTGCAATTCGTCGCGGTTGCGCGGTTGTTCCTTTTGTGTGGGTGTTTCGGGCCTGGGGGGGGTTCAGAAGAACTATGTTGTGTAATTCGTCGACGTGGCATGGAGAGTTCCGGCCTAGGGGGGGTAAACGACGGCGAAGCGTAATATTTCCATACATTTCTTGGACATGTTTTGTTACTTCTGTTTTCGGTGCGCGTTCGTGGGTTGAAGGTTTCGCTTGATTTGGGAAGCGATTGCGGGCGCCTTCGGATAAGAGAACGGAGGTATTTTTGGATTGGTTGCGGCGTCGGATTCCGGCTCGTATTTCGCGGCCCGACCATCTTCAAATCAAAGTATATGTGGTAAGAATGTACGCACGCATGCGCGCGAGATAAGCACGCCTACATACATTATCTGCACCGATATCTTTCCATGCTCATGTCACGTTGTACATATAGTGTGCGCAGAGTCCGCCGCCCTCGTCTTGATATTGTCGGTTTGGCTTTTGCGCGCGGCCGCCGCCAATTTTTTGTAACTCTTACTTAGGGTCTGGAGCATTGGCCGCCAGATTTGGGACCCCCCCTGCATAGTGTTTTTTGTTTTTGTCGTCGCCGCCGTGGGAATTCTGGTGAATACTTTTTCTCGAGCGTCGACCTGGTGATGATGATTCCACACGAAGCATGCGACCATCATGATAACCATCCACATCGTGGGGGACTCTTGTTCTATAGCGGGGTCGGTTATCCCCATTCCCACATCTCCCGCCCAATGAGGTCTTGCAAACACCTCCTCAGGAGTTTCAACATATACCGCCTCGGAAACACATGCCCGCGCCTTGCTGCGCCGATGCGGGACCGCCAGTGGAACCCCAGCGAAGGGTAAGGCACAAGGAAGTATCGAACGGCAGGATTGCCTTGGTGGGGATGGGTGCTGTCGGCGGTGAGGCAAAGACGTGGCCCTGAATAGACAGGGAGGAAGTCTCGAGCAGGGCTGCTGTTGTTGCTGGGAGCGGCGCCAATGCTGAAGACAGTGGGGCGCTAGTCCAGCGTAAAACAAGACGAAGTCTCGAGCGGGAACGCTGGTTTTGTTGGGACGGCGGCTTTCGGCGGCGAGGAGGAACACCGCCTTGAGTAAGAAGGGAGGAAGCATCGAACGGGAGCCGTGGTTTTGTCGGGACGGGCGCTGTCGGCGGCGAGGAACAGCACCGTCCCAGGAAAACAGAGAGGAAATCTCGAGCGGGAGCGTCGTTCTTGCTGGGAGCGGCGCCAATTCAAAAGAGAGTAGGGCGCCAGTCCAGCGTGAAACGTAAGGAAGTCTCGGGAGGGAGCGCTGGTTTTGTCGGGGCGGCGGCTTTCGGCGGCGAGGGGGAACACCGCCTTGAGTAAGAAGGGAGGCAGCATCGAGCGGGAGCCATGGTTTTGTCGGGACGGGGGTTGTCGGCGGCGAGGAACAGCACCGTGTTCAGGAAATGGGAGGAAGCCTCGAGCGGGAGCGTTGTTCTTGCTGGGAGCGGCGCCAATTCAAAAGAGAGTTGGGCGCCAGTCCAGCGTGAAACGTAAGGAAGTCTCGGGAGGGAGCGCTGGTTCTGTCGGGGCGGCGGCTTTCGGCGGCGAGGAGGAGCACCGCCTTGAGTAACAAAGGGAGGAAGCCTCGAGCGGGAGCGTTGTTTTTGCTGGGGGCGACGCCGATGAGAGAAAAACTAGCGCGCCAGTCCAAGGTAAAACGGGAGGAAGTCTCGAGCGGGAGCGCTGGTTTTGTTAGGACGGCGGCTTTCGGCGGCGATCAAGAACACCAGCCCTGAGTAACAAAAAGGAGGAAGTCTCGAGCGGGAGCGTTGTTGTTGTTGTTGTTGTTGTTGTTGTTGTTGTTGTTGTTGTTGTTGTTGTTGTTGTTGAACATTATTTCTTCTTAAGAATAATTATTGTTGGGACCCCTGGTGCGCGACCCCCCCGCCGCGCCTAGGCCGCAGCCTCATTTTCATCATTTTCGTGAGGAAGTCTCAGGCAAAACGGGTTGGTCCGGATCCGGTTGTGTTGTTACGATCGGTTTTCCCTTGCAAAAAATAAGCTAAAGTGGACATTTCTTGTTCTAACATAACCAAACTTCAAGAATCCCTTGCAAAAAATAAGGTAAAGTGGACATTCGCGCGCGCAAGACGAAATCCTTCCAAAACCTTAGTTTTCGTAGCGATTTTAACATAAAAACATCAAAAAACCAATGGTTTTTCAAACAAAAAATGTCAAAATTTCATCCCGCGCGCTCTTGCGGATTCGTAGGAAACCCAACACTTTTTAATCATTTCTGTCAAACGGGCTTTTGCGAGCAACTTTTTCGAACTTCTGCAACAACGGTTGCGCACCTGCCAGGGCCATCATCCCTGTCAAATAATACCATGCGGGACACATTCGTTTTTTCTTCGCGCGCGCACGCCGTCGTCGTCGGCCGCGGGGCCCTGAATAGTAGCCACGGTCGTCCGCATGCCACGAAGTGAAGTGTCCGAACGTCATAGGGCGGGAAGCTGGGTGTGGGTGGTGGCGAAGAGTCGTTTGGAAATTTGGTAGAGCTTGAACCGGCCCCCCCACAAAGTGGGGGTATTGCCCGCCTCCTATGAAAACCCTGGCACTGGTGAGAACGGTGTGTCCCCACGTGCTAGTAATTGTTGTTGTTGTTGTTGTTGTTGTTGTTGTTGTTGTTGTTGTTGTTGTTGTTGTTGTTGTTGGGAGGCCGGTTTTGGCGGTCCCCCAAACCGCTCGAGCGTGAACCTCATTTTCGATAAAACTGTAGCCAGCGCCTCGGCGAGAGCGCCAGGGCGCCTTTAAGGGGTCCAACAATAATAATTGTTTGGTAAGTAGCATTCCACAACAACAACAACAGCAACAGCAACACCAACAACAACAACAGCAACAACAACAACAGCAACATCAATAACACAACCCACAACAATAACAATAACAACAGCTGTCATAACCATAACACAAACATTATTAATACGAGTACCCACAACCAGAACAACACCAACAGCAACAACAACAGCAACAATCATTTTAAGACTGCTGTTCGCCCTCATCTGCTCGAGTGTCCAATGGCGCGTATTTCCCAAACCCTCGATACCCGCCCTCTTCGTCTTTGGTCGAACCCCTTTTGGGGGTATACTTTTCTTCCCTGCAGGCCGGGTCCCGGCAAGCGGCGGGGCGGCCGCGGACCGTGGGCCTGGCCAGCGGCAGCGCTGATCGGCGGGGCCGCCGCGGACCGTCGACCCGACCCCAAGAGGGACGGACAGGGGACCGACCACGACGACGACGACGACGACGACGAGCGAAAGCGAGAGCGAGAGAGAACGACAGCAGGGCCACGAACGACACGAAGTAGGCCACGAAGGGCGACAGCGGGGACACGAAGGGAATGCGTATGGGGCCACGAGGAGCGCGAACGAGCGGGGGCCACGAAGGGCAGATAATGCGGGGCCACAGAAGGCATCGATGGGGCCACTGAAGGTAGCAACTGGGCCACGTAGGACAGTGATGGGGGCCACAAGCGGCGACAGCGGGGCCACGAAGGGCACGCACATGGGGCCACAACGGGCGCGAACGAGCGGGGGCCACGAAAGGCATACGTATGTTTGGCCGCGGAGGGCCAGGACGGGGCCACTGAGGGCAGCAACGGGGCCACGAAGGGCAGCGAGGGGGCCACGAAGGGCGACAGCGGGGCCACGAAGGGCATGCATATGGGGCCACCACGGGCGCGAGCGAGCGAGGGCCACGAAGGGCATACATATATGGGGCCACGGAGGGCAGCGAGGGGTCCACGAAGGGCTGCAACGGGGCCACGACGGGCACCGAGGAGGCCACGAAGGGCTGCAACGGGGCCACGAAACAAAGCGAGGGGGCCACGAAGGGCTGCAACGGGGCCACGAAGGGCAGCGAGATCCCGATTCCTAGGTCA